AAAGGTTTCTTTTTAGCGGTAAACGCAAACACCTCACAAGACACAAACCTGTGTTTTCTGAAGGTTAAAATGGACGAGATTTAGTAGTCCAAAATCCGAGACTTTGTTTAACAACGACTCGACTTCATACACAAGTTAGTTCCGGTACTCGATGACGTGATCCCCAAAAATATTGGCACGGCTGGTTTAAAAAGCATCACCTGTGCTGTCGACCGCATAGCAATTTGCAACATATCATTGATTTGCAGAAGGAACAGCGTAGGTACACAGTTTTCTGGCACACTAGCATTGGCATAGGCATAGGCTTGTGATCGGAGTGTGCACCGTCTACTACGACCTTGTTGCTCCAATCAGCAAGGAAACTGTGATCCAATTGCACAATTTTTCGGGAAGCCCATAGGAACGAAGCGCTTTGGGCCAAACCCGATCGAAGGCCATTGCTTTGTTCAAACTAACGGCCAATGCCCCTTGGACTCTACTACCTCCACCCTTCTGTGAGTCAGGTAGGCTAGAAAATTACGAGCTGATCGACTGCGACGAAAACGGTATTGGCGGTCACTAATCAGCTGTTGATCCACAAGGTACCTTATAAGTTGGAAGCTTATAATGGATCCTATTATTTTGGAGAACAAGGAGGTGATATCGATAGGCTTGTAGTTGGACGGGTCTGAGCAGTTGCCTTTTTAGGGATCGGGTGGAACAAAGTTGTCTTCCATGAATTCGGGACCGGAAAAGATGCGTTAAATCCGGTGCCAACTCGGGATCACATGCCTTCAGCACAATGGGAGGGACTCCATCGAGCCCGATCGATTTTTGACGTCTAAGAGAAGAGGAGTGCTTTTACACCGCTACAATTCAATTTCAATTTTTCAATTTCGATATCACAGATATATAATTTATAATTAAAAATTTTGTACAACAGACTTCAATATAAATTATCAAGATTAACTCAAAAACTGTTGAACTGTTGAAACAAAACGACCGTTATTATTGTAATTTTTAAATTCAAAAAGAAGTAGATGGCGATAATGTGAATAAAAATTACTTATACATGAAAGGTAACGTCATTTTGTAAGTTTGAAGTCAGAAAAGAATTGTACATTCGGCATTTTTGTAAGACGTCAATTCAGCCGCGCAACTAGATTTGGTCTAGTGAGTAGCGACAGTGCGACTGCAAATAGTTTTTATTCAACGTTTAAAAAGGACGGTCACATGAACCTTCACAATTTGTACGAATGGCACGTGACAAATCCAAATTTTATGCGGGAAGATAGATCGTAGTAGGTACCAGTTTAAAGTAAACGGGAAGTTTGAATGGCAAAGTTATGGTACCAATCGCGCTGCCGGAGAACCTAAATGTCCACGGTTATTTGGACTTCTTACAGAACCAAGTACCAGATTTGTTGGAAGAAATGTCACTGAACATTAACGGCAGCATGTGGTATCAACAAGATGGCTACTAAGTTAATATGGAAAAAAACATTTTATTTAAAATTGAGGCAGTTATTTTAAACTTTAAGTTCTTTTAACTTTTAACTGTAATTTACAGAATGGTACAATTACAATATTCACGGTTATATCACAGACAAAAAACTGATGAAAAGTTAATATTTGTAGTCACAGGACATGAAAGATCATCACAGGCTGTCCGTTATTGAGATTTATTTTTGAATCCTTATAATTTGAAAAGTACATAACCAATATTTTTTTATATTTTTCTAATACCTGTCACGACTTGTCCTGTTGCCCTTTTACGGCTTGACGTTGATTTCTGGGACACGTGATATAGAGGTCAGTAGCGGGAACATAACCATCGGCATATTGCAGTCTTCTTTCTATATTATCCTGTATATTCAGTTGTGAAATAAATATCAAATCTTTTATTTTATTAGCGCTATAACGTACTATCGTTATTAATTGACCCTTGGCATAAGCTGAATTAAGCAGTCGTCAAAAGTATAATATTGTAAAGAATAATAATAATCCCAATATACAAATGAAAAGGGTCGCAGCAGGACTGTAAAAACTACCGTTGTATCGGTCTTCTTAGCATTGTGGGAAAACTGTATGCTAAGGTACTAATTGAAAGAGTTATGAAAGAAACTGATGGAAAAATTTGGGGTGTGCAAGCGGTATTTAGAAAGGGAATGGGGTGTATGGATCATGTCTTTTCCATGCGCATGATCGCGAAGAAGTTTTTGGCCAAATCCCATAGTTTTGTTGTGCGTTTGTGGACCATTAACCGTCAAATGCCTTTTGTACGCCGATGATTAAGTCATATTGGCGTCGTCGGCGGCCGAGTTGCAAATTATGATTACATTAATGAACAGGTCATTAAAAGAAAGGGAAATGAAAGTGAGACGAAAGTTATGGTTTATGAATGAGAAGAAAGTAAAACGATATTTGAAATAAGAATAGGACCCCTCCTATTCTTATTTCACATATCGTTTTCATAGTTGGTCCAGCAAGTAGAGTATTGTGAAAAGTCATAATGTGTCTAAAAAGGCGGGTATGGCACTGAATACAACAACTCGAGAAGATACGCTCTCTTAGTTTTTTGTGCGTTCGTGGACTTGGAGAAGGCTTATGACAAAGAAGACAGGGATGTGTTATGGCAAATACTGAACTCATTTGGGTTGAGCGCTGGGTTGATACAGGCATATAAAGTCTCTTTATAGGGACTCTAGTGCTTGTGTCAGGATCAACGGGGCCTACTCGGACTGGTTTGACATCCATAAAGATGTCAGACAGGGCTTTGTGGCATCCCCGTGGCAGTTCAACCTATTTATGGACAGTTGTTTGGAAAATTTTAAAGTTGAAGAATGCGGGTTAAGAATGGGTGATCTAACCGTCAAATGCCTTTTGTACGCCGATGAATAAGTCATATTGGCGTCGTCGGCGGCCATGTTGCAAATTATGATTACATTAATGAACAGGTCATTAAAACAAAGGGAAATGAAAGTGAATGCAAGTAAGACGAAAGTTAAGATTTATGAATGAGAAGAAAGTAAAACGATATGTGAAATAAGAATACGAGGAAATTTGGTCGAGCAAGTAGAGTATTTTTGATATGTATTTAGCAGGGATGGTCGTAACGACGAGTGGACGCAGGAAATAGAGTAATTGAGGAACTACACTCTATTGCGAAATGTCATAATATGTCTAAAAAGGCGCGTATGGCAATTAACAATGCTGTGTTATTCCCTACTTTAATTTATGTTAGTAAAAGTTGGGTGTGGCAGAAGAAGCATGAGAGTAGAATAAATGCTGTAGAAATGCGGTCATTAAGGAGTATGTTAGGGCTGAATCTGAATAACAGGGTGAGAAATTGTGTGATAAGAGAAGAGTGTGGTTTGCAAGATGATGTTGTAACCAGGATTAAGAAAGGAATGCTTCGGTGGTTTGGTCATGTAGAAATAATGAATTTATCGACCAAAATTGGCGATATATTGTAAATGGGCCAAATTTAGCGAACCCTTAACCGATGACCATGTATGTGTAGGTATATCTATGTGAAGGAAGCGAGCGAGAGACGTGTACCAGGATCATGCCAAATGGAAGTTCGTAGTCTCTGCCTACCCCTCTGAGTGACAGGCGTGATTTTTTAAGTATATTTAATTTTGTAAACAATATTCACGTTGGATTTGGCTGTATGGGCATTGATCCCTATGCCTTTAAATAAAAACAATAACAATACAAAATTATCTCTATGAAAATAGTAAATAGCAAAACATCAATGTGACTTATAGATGTGCCAACTCGGAAAAATTACAACTCGAGTTAACTCGAGTTTAAACTCGAGTTAGCAGTACGAAACAGAGTAAATAATTTGCTACAAATTACTTTTTTATAAATTTGTTTTTCTATCTAGCTTTTTGATAAATTGGGATAATTATAATTACGAAACCTATTATGTTGGATTGACATAAAAAGGTACATATAGCATCACATACTTATGTCTTTTTGGTTTTAATCTTAGTTATAGTAAGTACCTTCATTTAACAAGAAAACTAGCTATATAGCAGTCTTGATGAAACAATATTAGCCTAGCTTTAAGATGTAGGTACAGAATCTATTAAGTAATAGTTTAATTATCACAATCAAAATATTCTTTAATATTTTTTTTAATTATTTAAAATTTCTTTTTATATAGAAGAAGGTTGACAAACGAGCATACAGTCCACCTGATAGTAAGTGGATGCTGTAGCCCATAGATTTAAAGGGTCTTCGGTTTCCATACGATACACATTCACCATACGAAACACAGCAGCATTAAGCTGCTATTTTACGTTGGTATTCTGTGAGAGCGTGGTCCTACCCCGGTCGAGCCGACTCATTCGTACTGCTACCACAATATAGTTGCAGCATGGCTCTACCACGCAATTCAATATATATATTGTAAGTTAAGTGTTACATCTAGCGTTAATTTAAAATACAATGCATCTTACAACGTAACCGACGTTTTTGGGTATTATAATAATGGGTCTGTGACTTACATAACTAAATTGATCATAATAAATCAAAATGATAAAAGAAATGAAATCACATAACTTAGCTATTATACAATTCTATATAACAAATTGTTATGGTTGTAGCTACTCTTTGATACATAAAGCGCGCACGCAAAGCACGAATCGCGCACTTAATTTTTTGCTTGCTCACTCCGTTCATGTACAGCAGCACAAACTCGAGTTAGGGAGATCAAAGTCGCGTTAACTCGAGTTAGCCGCAAACTCGAGCTAGTAACTCGAGTTGACTCATCACTAAAGTGAATGTCAAGTGTCAAAATTAAAAAAAAAAATATTTTATATAAACATAATATTATGTAAATATTAAAGTTTATATTTTATGCAATTAGTGTGTAAGTGCTAAATAGTTTAAAAGTGTTTATTTTTAAGTCAGTTTATAAATGATTTGTTTTTATTTGTAGAAGTTGTTTTATATGAATAATACAATAGATATGGTAAAATTATAACAAAACGTAAACGAGTACGACAAAAATGCATCTAGCAAAATTGCATAGGTTAGTAAATAAAAATTAACTTTAGATTATTTTAGAACGTATTTTATAAACCTGCAGATAACATTATGAATAACCAACGTATTGCGTTAAAATAAACATACTGTCTTTCATTTTCAGAATAGTACATTTGGATATGAAGGGTGCTCCTCTAAATATAAGCTATTTAGCAACAGTGAGTATTTTTGTTATTGAAGCGGAATTAGGTATAAATTTTACAATTGCAATATTTTTTGCATGCTTTATTCAAAAAGTAAGAACTGTAAACTACCTATTCTACATAATTTTCATATTAATTATAAATATTATAATAATAGTTATAGATATTAAACTTTACATTGGGCTAAATAGTGGGTCTTGAGAGTCTCCAGATGGCAGTGGAATGTAAGAATGATAAAATTTGTAATAAACTATATTTTAAGGTGTTCAATTGTATCAAGACATGGGGTGCTACAGGAGTGCTTTTAGAATGGGAAGATACATTTCCTTATACATCAAATTTAATAGAAATAGGAAGTCAATGTGGCATTAATGGAAGTGGAGGTGATGACTTATATAGCACTGAAGATGTTCAAACTATATTAAAACTGGCTAAAGATAACTGTCTTGAAGTAGTAAGTAAATAAATTATTATGATTACTAATGACCTAGTTAGTCAGAATATAAATGTCAGCAAAAGTTAAAATTTGAAAGCTTTTTATACCTTATCACAAGTATGAGTGTACATACTGACCAGTCAAGCTCTAAGGTTTGTATTAGATTGAAATTAAAATGTTAGAGAAACTTTTTTCAGTTTGGTGATTAACAAAAACTAGTTTCGTATTTTTTTCCCATCATCATCACCAGCAGCTTAAAATTCATTGCTGGACATCGGCTTTCGCATAGTAGTCAGGATTTGCCTAAATCTTCATGCCAGGCTGGTGGACTGACAATTGCAGTACCAGACATTTTGCACATTTGATGCTGCTGTCTGCTGCCAGTCATAAATAAGGTGTTATATTGCCATCTATCAAAAGCCATAAGATCTTTCTGCCATATCCTATAGTCACCTCTTATGAGATCACCACTTACACCATCCATATTAAGTTAGGAGTTCTTTAGGCAAAAAATTTGAATAAAAATAATAATAATAATAATTTATTCACATAGAAAAGTGATACAAAGTAACAGTCAAACAATGCATATTATATACTAATTATGTTTTAAAAAATGAACTTGCTTCCTAAGTCAGGATAAACCCTGTGTTTTAGGTTAAGCAAAGCTCTTCCCACTTACACAAATCCGTAAATGAGATACACAAAATATATTGAAATAATACAAGAGTAACCAAAAAGAAATTGATCCTTAAGAATCAAAAACACATGCACAGATCAAAACATTTAAGAGAGAAATAACAAATCGACATCTATGAACACTTCGGCAAATACAGACAACAAATTCGTTTCTTCATAAGACTTAAGTTGAAGCCATTTTCTGAGGGCTACGTTGCATTCATGCCTATTCATAGAATTTATATGAACAAGTCTGTTTACTTTATTATATAAATATGGGCCAACAAAGCAAAATTATTTTTTTATGAATTTGGTGTTGGGTTTGAAACTACTTTATCACAATATCTTTATAACATTTACATTTGATTTTGTTTGGGTCATAATTTATAGTCTAATGCTGTCTTTTAATAACATTTAGAACAAATAGGTGGCGAACAGTTAGTACTTGGCAGTTATTGTAGGATATTGAAATGGTTTAAAAGTGGAGACCTTTAAATGAGTCCTTTCTAAAGAAACCATGTGTGTTATTAGAGCCCGACTCCAACACGAAATTCAATAAAGTTAACAAAGATTCACACAGAGCAAGATACACCTGTTTAAGAAGACATGGTTGCACTACATGTCTTAGATTTTTGAAAACGTATATAAGTTTGCAGACACAATTTTTTAAATCTTGAATATGGTGTTCAAAAGATAGATTTTTGTCTAGGACACCCAAATACCTCACAACCTCAACTCTTTTCAATAACAGACACCGACAGGAAGTGAGAGAGATCTAGGATTTTTTAAAATACAACTATGTGCACGTAGGGAGAAAGCGGTTCCTGGTTGCGTCACATCATGGCTTTAGTATGGAGCTGTTCTATATTATACTGTAGTAGCTTGGAAACTGATAGACTGGATCATTTTGCTTGTGGCGCAACGATCATGCCACCACATCTTGCAAAGTATGTATATAGTTTCTGATTATGTTCAGAAGTTTGCATAATGGTTGAAATCAGCTATGAAAAAATCATCAAATTTAAGTTTGTTAGCACTGAAGTTCAGCAAAATTTTAAATAAAGTTTTAAAAGACCTTTTTTCTTCAACCATTCCAGATTCAATTGATCCAAACAATTGGCCATATGGAGTTTGTTTTGAAGCATCCATCATTTCAAAAACTTCGCGAAGCACCTCTTTCACCCGCAGTCCTTTGTCCCTCCAAACCGGAGTCTCTGCAACTAGTAACATCAATGCTGCTGCAAGCGTTGAATATGCAGCCTGATGCGTCTTTCATACATATAGGGGCCGATGAGGTAACAATTTGCTAATATATATTTTATTTATAGTTGATTATTTGCATGTTAGAATCCATTTTTAAAACATCACTGTACCAGTCCAGTAAACCAGTAATACTATGTTGCCATATGGTGAGGCGTGAGAGAATTACCACGCCATTTCGTCCCGTGGGTGTCGTAAGAGGCGATTGTGCCAAAATGTCGGACCCAAATAGTTCTGGCAAGCCTTATAAGGAGGAAAATGTGTACGGTCGCGGATGTGGTGTCTATGTGGATTATATGGTGAAAGTAGATTGTATGGTTTTAGTTAGTGAAAGTCGAACCCAAAGAGAATATAATCAAGCTGGCGCCAAGCTACTCTACCAACATCAAGACATGACATTTAATTTTAGGCAAACATTGCTGACAACGTAGGCGAATTATAATAGTGCTGTAAATGTCTATCCTCGAACAATTTTATCGATATATTGTTTATCAATATTCTAGTTTATTTTAGTGTAAGAAATACTGTGTACAAATCGCTAGGCTTCTTCACAGAGGTGCATACTACCCACAGATGTCGTTTACTAATAGTCACTTTCAAAACTAGTGCCCATTATAGCCAATGTTTGTAGATGAATCTATAAAATATATATATAACCAGGTTCTTAGAAATAACCTTGAGTTTAGTTATATAATCGAATTCTTACCAAATGGGACTAAGGGGATATTATCTTTTGCTACATGTAAAGGAAGTTTAATTAACATACACATAATTATGGAAGCTTTAAGTCGACTGCTAGCTAGCAAGTTTTGCCACAAATATGTGAAGCTTTTCAATTGGTATATCTGCCAGGTCTTAATTCTCAATTAATTTTACCCATTGCTTACATCTGAAAACCTAATATAAATAAAATCACATTTTTATTGAACAAACAGAATGTACGCAGTCACAATTGCTAAAGTATAGCATGTTTCGGATTGCCATCTCATCGAACTGTCAGAGTTAGGGCATAGAGTGTTTTTGTATTTGTGCACATAATCGTACACTATAAAAACCTCTCCTATGTAGATGGCTCCTCTCCGTTGATACTAGGGTCCGTGATCGAAGTTCGTTTTGGAGGACATTACTACAAATAAAGGTCTAAAGATGTATTCTCATTAAAATAACATATTACAATTAAAGTTGAAATCACCACATACTTACCTTTTATTACCCAAGGGAAATATTGATATATCAATATACTGAAGAGTTTTTGAATGTTTCTTAAGCAATACTTTTGTCAAGTTTATATTTTCTTTCAGGTTTGGCACACTGCAGTGTGCGAAGAATGTCAAAAAAGAGCAGCCATGAGTGAGCATAAAACTGCATCATTATACCTTGACCATATTCAAAATGTCCTCTTATTTCTCAAGCAAAAGAAGCCAGATTTAACCATTCTTATGTGGGAGGATATGCTGCGGACCATGAATGTCGACACATTGCAGTGTAAATATATATTACATATATTTTTTTATGTGGTAGACCCATGTTGCTGTATAGTTAGTAGTATAGTTGTAGCACGAATCGGGAAGGCCACAATTTCACAGAATACCAGCGTAAAATAGCAGCTTAATACTGCTGTGTTTCGTATGGTGAGTGTAGAGAACCGGATACCCTTTTTACTGGAAAAGAGGCATTTCATCTTAGTCCTCACGGGTGACATTATTAGCTAACCTAACAACATCTTATAGTGACCACATCAATACTAAAAATCTTTTATATTTTAAATAAATAGATTGACTTGGCCATCGCATGAAAGCACAATGTATTTTTTTTATAGCATAAGTGTGAAAAACGAGCATACAGTCCACCTGATGGTAAGTGGTTACTGCCCATAGACATCTACATCTATCCTCGTTTGCGAATCAAAATGCAGATGCGTTGTCACCCGTGAGGACTAAGATGGAATGCCTCATTCCTAGTAAAAAGGGCCTCCGGCCACTTGCACTCACCAAGCAAAACGCAGAGGTAAACCTCTACTTCACGCTGGTATTCTGTGAGGTCGTGGTACTACCCCGGTTCGAGCCGGCCCATCCGTGCGACAGCAAAAGCTGCCTCGTGGCTCTACCACTGTTAAAAGTAATACATATTATATTAAATTGTTTAGTGCTTAAGACAGAAGGACCCTCAAGTAGGGACTGAATAAATTAACCGATTTGGTATTACATAGATCACACAACTTTTTACGGTAGAAGAACTGAGTTGCGAGACTAGTGGTTTTTTTTACAAGTTATGTTTTTGATGGTGTCTCATTTCTTTTTGTGGATAGTTATATCTAGGTACCTATCTACACCCATTATTCTATTATATTATACATATTATATAGGTACACTAATTCATTCACTGCAAATGTAACTTTGTAATCCTATATATTTATATAGGATTACAAAGTTATTTATGCAGTTGGTGTATCTCGAAAACAGGACCGAAATTGCAAAGTATTTTAATTTTTCCTTGATTTAAATACCAAACAATAATTGAATTCCAAATTTGAATCTTGTATGTCTACTAGAAGTGCCTTAGAGTTTTGATGATCGGTCAGTCAGTGAGTGACAAAATTAAGAAACTTTGACTAGTTATAATTTTTAAACTACTGGTTCAAATTGAATGAAATTCGAAATATACCGTGTTTATACAAAGCCTGCTTGGTAACTAAAAGTCAGGCTTCTAGTTTTAACCAAAACGAAGTAATAGGGGGTCGAAAATGGCCTGAATTGCTTCCAGAAAAGGATGGTACGGCCGTGCCGCGTTTTTGCTCAACTTGGCGGGGGCACTACCGTGCCCCCAGATACCACTGATTTAGAAAAACCTCTGACCTGGGAAGAACTAGCAAGAAACACAGCGGGACTATTTTTCACACAATAATTTATAATATAATATACCTATTGTACATTTAAATAGGAAAACATTTAGAAACAGCATGGTAGCGATCGCTTCATTCCCAGGGGTTCAATCAATCAATCATGAACTCTTTAGTAGTATAATAACCCGTATTAAACAATTTTAGCTTAATATTTTTTTTTAATTTTTTGTTACACAAGTCCTGCATTTTTTCTGTAATTTTGTTGTTAAAGTTAGTAAAATAAAATGATGTTATTGTTTTTTTCTATAATTTTACAGCATACAAACTTGGCGATCTCGTACAACCAGTAGTTTGGCACTACAATCCAAAAGAGTGCTTTCAGTTGAATCCAAACATGTGGAGTACTTACAAACAGATATTTTCTAACGTGTGGACCGGGTCAGCTTTCAAGGGTGCTAATGGGAGTTGTCAGGTAAATTTACTGAAGATTATATAACAAACATTAAATGTTACAAATGTAAAACGTTACAGCTTTTATATGTTCCAATTCTGGGCACTGGCCTCTTCTCATTTGTGAGATCTCAATCTCACCATAAATATTAATGTGAAATAGCAAGCTCCATAGATATGACCTTAGAAGTTGTTTCTTGCATTGAATAAAATAAATATTATGGATTTTATTGCATTTTTTATAGCATGGGGTGACAAACGAGCACACAGTCTTCCTGATGGTAAGTGGATGCCGTGGCCCATAGACATTTACATCTAACTTCGATTAAAAATCAAAATGCAGATGCGTCGTCACCTCTGAGGACTGCGATGGAATGCCCCTTTTCCAGTAAAAAAGGGTCTCCGGTTCTCTACACTCACCATACGAAATACAGCAGTGTTAAGCTGCTATTTTACGCTGGCGTTTATCTTATTAAATTTTTTTAATTTTCGACGTTTCGGGCGCTTTACAGCACACATGTTAGTGTGGGGACTGATGTATTTGACGTACCGATGTCCTAGTTAGCCCGGGCTACCTTCAGCCTTTGAATATTTAATTTTACTAGGACATCAGGACGTCAAACACCTCAAACACACTCCGTGACCAGGAGATGGGCAGCAGCATCTTCCTGGTAACGGCAAAAATATAATAAAAAACTGCGGTTGCCAACCCGCTCGCCAAGCATGGCAACTATGGCAATATACCCCTCATAATGAAAGTTACGAAGAGACGGCCCCCAGTCCCCGGCGGCCCCGCTATTCCTAGCTACGGTGGCGACCATGGTAACGGCGGGGCAGGGGGTGCTAAGAATCTCCGGTGGAGGTTCGGTTGCCACCTACAACGACTCGACCTGGCAACATACAACGCACGCACCCTGAGGACTGAAGAGAAGATTGTGGAGCTGGAAGAAGAGATAGACAAGTTACGCTGGCATATTATAGGATTATCCGAAGTCCGAAGAGAGGGGGAGGACACGGTAATCCTCGAATCCGGCAACTTGCTCTATTACCGGGAGGGCGACCATCTGTCCCAAGGAGGTGTCGGATTTATCATCCACAATTCTCTCGTTAACAACGTTGTAAAGATTGAGAGTGTGTCGACGAGGGTTGCGTACCTTATACTCAGAATCACCAAACGGTATTCGCTGAAGGTCATACAGGTTTACGCACCAACCTCGGCACACCCCGATCAGGAGGTGGAGGAAATGTATGAGGATATCTCTAGAGCCATGCATTCCTCCAAAACCCAATATACGGTGTTAATGGGAGACTTCAATGCAAAACTAGGCACAAGAGAGAACGGTGAGCTGAAAGTGGGGAAATTTGGAATAGGGCAACGGAACCCAAGGGGCCAGCAGTTGGCCGACTTCATGGAGAAAGAGGGACTCTTTATGATGAACTCTTTCTTCCAGAAGCGGCCCCACAGGAAGTGGACCTGGTCGAGCCCCGACGGTTCGACAAAAAATGAGATTGACTTCATTATGACGACCAGACGACAACTGTTCAGTGATGTCTCAGTGATCGCGAGGGTGAAAACCGGCAGCGATCACCGAATGGTTAGAGGCACACTGAACCTAAACGTTAAGTTGGAGAGGTCTCGTCTAATGAAGTCAACGCTCCGTCTCCCTCGTGCTCTAATCCAAAGTCCCGAAACCTTTCAGCTCGAGTTGCAAAACCGTTTTCAGTGCCTAGAAGACTGCAATGAAGTGGACGATTTGAATGACAAGCTCGTGGAAACAGTCCATGCGGTCGGAGCTAAGTTCTGCAAGACCCGCCGCAGAAGAACACAAAAACTCTCCGATCACACTCTTAATCTCATGGCTGTTAGACGGGAGATGAAGCTACATTCTTCAACAGATTTGACAGCATACAGGCAACTTAATAGACAGATTTCCAAATGCATGCGGCGGGACTTACGCAACTTCAATACAGCTCGTATTGAAGAAGCGATCGAGCGGAACCAAGGCTCCAAAGTCTTTGCCAGAGATCTGTCTGCCAGAAAGAGCCAACTGTCAAAGCTGAAGACCGAATGTGGCAGCATCGTTTCCGGGGCACCTGAGATTTTGAGTGAGATTGAGAGGTTCTATGGGCAGCTGTACACGTCATCGTTGGAGCCACACGCAAGTGTGAGTAACGATCCAAGAGCGAGTCTTATCCGACATTATTCCGATGATATCCCAGACGTCAGTCTGAGCGAGATTAGAATGGCTCTCCAGCACCTTAAAAACGGCAAGGCCCCAGGCCAGGATGGAATTACAGCGGAGCTTCTGAAAGCGGGTGGAAAACCGGTACTTGAAGTCCTTCAGAAGCTCTTTAATTCCGTCCTCCATGGTGGCATTACACCGGAGGCGTGGAGCAGAAGTGCGGTGGTCTTGTTCTTCAAGAAAGGCGACAACGCTCTCTTGAAGAACTACAGACCGATTTCCCTTCTGAGCCGCGTCTACGTGCTGTTTTCGAGAGTCATTACGAATCGTCTCGCGCGCAGACTTGACGACTTCCAGCCTCCCGAACAAGCCGGTTTCCGAAAAGGCTTTAGCACCATAGACCACATACATACCCTTCGGCAAATTGTACAGAAGTCCGAGGAGTACAATTTGCCACTATGTCTGGCGTATGTGGACTATGAGAAAGCCTTTGATTCCGTCGAAATTTGGGCGGTGCTGCAGTCCCTTCAGCGATGCCAAGTTGACTGTCGGTATATCGAAGTGTTGAAGTGCTTGTACAGTAGGGCTACGATGGCTATCCGAGTACAGAACCAGAGTACGAAACCTATCCAATTGCAGAGAGGTGTAAGACAGGGTGACGTCATATCCCCGAAACTCTTTACCGCTGCATTGGAAGATGTTTTCAAGCTTCTGGACTGGAAAGGATACGGTATCAACATCAATGGCGAGTACATCACTCACCTTCGATTTGCCGACGATATAGTCCTTATGGCAGAATCGCTGGAGGACCTAAGCACTATGCTCAATGACCTCAATAGTGTTTCCCAACGTATAGGTCTTAAGATGAACATGGACAAAACAAAGATCATGTTTAATGTCCATGTCACACCTATGCCGGTAGTTGTTGGGAACACTAAGCTCGAAGTTGTTGACGAGTATGTTTACCTGGGACAAATAGTCCGACTAGGTAAGTCCAACTTCGACCGAGAGGTCAATCGACGGATTCAACTCGGTTGGGCAGCGTTCGGGAAATTACGGCACATCTTCTCGTCAGGTATACCTCAAAACCTTAAAACGAGACTGTACACCCAGTGCGTGTTGCCAGTGATGACATACGGAACTGAGACGTGGTCTTCACTGCTGGCCGGATGAGGAAGCTCAAGGTCGCTCAGCGAGCTATGGAGAGGGCTATGCTAGGAGTTTCTCTGCGTGATAAACTCAGAAATGAGGATATCCGCAGTAGAACCAGAGTGACCGACATAGCCCAACGGGTTAGTAAGCTGAAATGGCAATGGGCCGGCCATATAGCTCGAAGAGCCGACAACCGATGGGGAAGAAAGGTTCTCGAGTGGCAGCCTCGTACCGGCAGGCGAAGTGTAGGGCGTCCCCCCACTAGATGGAGTGACGACCTGGTAAGATATGCAGGAAGTCGATGGATGCAGGTGGCTCAGGACCGTGCTTTGTGGCATTCTTTGGGGGAGGCCTATGTTCAGCAGTGGACTTGTGAAGGGCTGTAATGATGATGAAACTTGGCGATCTCGTACAACCAGTAGTTTGGCACTACAATCCAAAAGAGTGCTTTCAGTTGAATCCAAACATGTGGAGTACTTACAAACAGATATTTTCTAACGTGTGGACCGGGTTAGCTTTCAAGGGTGCTAATGGGAGTTGTCAGGTAAATTTACTGAAGATTATATAACAAACATTAAATGTTACAAATGTAAAACGTTACAGCTTTTATATGTTCCAATTCTGGGCACTGGCCTCTTCTCATTTGTGAGATCTCAATCTCACCATAAATATTAATGTGAAATAGCAAGCTCCATAGATATGACCTTAGAAGTTGCTTCTTGCATTGAATAAAATAAATATTATGGATTTTATTGCATTTTTTATAGCATGGGGTGACAAACGAGCACACAGTCTTCCTGATGGTAAGTGGATGCCGTGGCCCATAGACATTTACATCTAACTTCGATTAAAAATCAAAATGCAGATGCGTCGTCACCTCTGAGGACTGCGATGGAATGCCCCTTTTCCAGTAAAAAAGGGTCTCCGGTTCTCTACACTCACCATACGAAATACAGCAGTGTTAAGCTGCTATTTTACGCTAGCGTTTATCTTATTAAATTTTTTTTATTTTCGACGTTTCGGGCGACACATGTTAGTGTGGGGACTGATGTATTTGACGTACCGATGTCCTAGTTAGTCCGGGCTACCTTCAGCCTTTGAATATTTAATTTTACTAGGACATCAGGACGTCAAACACCTCAAACACACTCCGTGACCATGGGTGTTGGATTTTTTTACATCTGGATATTTGTCCATACGCAATTTATGTATGTGACGTACATGATATGGCAGTGACGTGTTTTTTTATAAAAGTTAAAAGTAAAGTTACAGCCTATATACGTCCCACTGCCAGGCACAGGCCTCCTCTCATATCTGAGAGGGATTGAGGGCAAAAAAACGTCCGCCGCGCTGCGCTGCAGTAATGCGTGTTGTCGAACTTCACATGTCTTCGAAATTATTTTTTTCTTCTTATCTCAGATATGCAGGTTTCCTCACAATGTTTTCCTTTACCGCCGAGCAATGAGGCATTCCATTTTAGTCCTCACGGGTGACAACGCTTCTGCATTTTGATTTGTAAGCGAGGATAAATGTAGATGTCTATGGCCCGCATCGACAACTTACCATCAGGTGGACTGTGTGCTCGTTTGTCAACCTTATCCTATAAAAAAAAATTGTAGCACTGTAGTAGATTTAATTATACTTATAATGTTTGTAATATTAAGTTTTGAAAGCAAGGTTGTAGCTAACGTAATAGTATAAAACATAAAAAATTAATTACAGCCTATATACACGTCCCACAGCTGTGCACAGGCCTCCCCTCGTTTCTGAGAGCGTTTTAGGGCAAGAAAATGTCCGTAGCGCTGCCCCAATGTGTGTTGATGAAGTAACTAATTCAAAAGTTTATTTTTCTTATTTTCTTAGGTTTCCTCACAATGTTTTCCTTTACCGCCGAGCATGTGGTAAATCAGCACTTAAAATTTCAATTAATAATTTTACTGGTGCCGGTGAGTATCGTACCCAGGTTGCTCGCGTATTGTGGAATTTACACGGAGCGCTTAACCCTTGAGCTACAACGGCTCTGTTTTATATATATATATATATATAAATAAATGATCTAATTTCAGGTCCTATCACCAGTTGCTCGATATGTGAGCAACCACGAGGGCTGGTTGCATGAAATCAATAAATATTCTTCCGCTATGAATTTTGTGGGACTCATACTAACTGGATGGTCAAGGTATGTCTTTCTATATAATATTAAAGTGACAGACATGTTAACAGTCCACCTGATGGTAAGTGCCACAGCCCGTGGACACAAGAGGGAGTCAGTATAATTGCACTATTTATTCGGATTCCCTCATGTCAGCCCTGCATATTCCGTCTTAGTCCCTAGAACTGACAATACATCTATGGAATTTTTCGTTCAAAGGTGGTTACCGTACCGTTACAGCCTATTAAAGTCCACTGCTGAACATAGGCCTCCCCCATAGGTTGCCTCATAGGGGGGAGATATTTGCCATAGTCGCCACGCTTAGTAAGCTTGGCGCGTCTTATGACATCCACGGGATGATATGAGGTAAATAATATACAGGCCTGTTTATTCACTATTTGATACTATGTTAGCTGTATCATTAACTGTACGCCTGTATATTTACTTGAAAGTGTACATATGCTATAGTAAGCACCATACTGTGTAATGTGACTTACATTTCTACAATAATTTTGTATTCAGTTTAAGGCTTTATTTGTCAATAAAAATTATTAATATATATTATTATTATATATAATATTAATATATAATTATTATTATTAATAAATTATTATTAATTATATATAGTCAATAAAATATATCTCTAAAGTCTTCTCATCTGGTTGGGCAGTTATTATTATTATTATTATTATTATTTCTGTTAGGTGCTCGCTCTATAAAAACTTTAATGTACTAATAGTTATTATTCCTACCGTGCGTTTGAGCCAAAATCATCCAACTTGTAATGTTTCGAAACTTGTCAATTAAAACATGTTTTTTATTTTGTCAATTATTTGTTTTTTTGTTTTCATTGTCAATTACAAACACATTTAGTAACAAATATGTTTTATCGATGTTTGCGTTTGCACAATCTATTTATAAATTAATACATCTAGGGACATATTTGTGATTTTTTATAGTTTCAAATATATTGGGAATTTGAATTTTTTTTCTGTATATATTATATAATGAGTAATTCGTTAAGTTTAGCTTCAACAAACAAAATGTACATAATTTGCACACGGGCAAACATCCTGACCAGGAACAATAATTTGTAGGACATATTAAACGAAAAGTCAATTCCTTTTGTATATTCGTACTCAAGGCTCGCAGCGCTTTTAAGGCGATGTTGTAGTAATTTTTAACTTTTTGAACCTTAGTAAAATCTACTGAAATATAATTATTGCACAAAACGAAATCGTTTTATAAAAATTGAACGTACGAACAAATGCCGTGTGAAGACAGAAACAAATTATATTTGAATCGATAAAAAAGTAATAAAAATTATGTTCTGAGATTTCATAAGGAAACCTTGTAAAAAGTTTTATCAAATAAATAGACTAATTATCTTTAGGTCATGTTAAGAACACATTTTATTAAGTAGTTTTCATTCTTATCTTATAAAATAAAGAAATTTGGACGGTTTAAGTTTGCGCCCGTCGAGATATCTTCGAGATGGGACGTGTTAAAATTAATAAAGCGGGGAGAATTTTAGAACAAAATTCTCCCCGCTTTATTAATTTTCGCTCGATGATTGCGGGGACAGAAAATAGTAGGAATGAAAACGTTACGTACGTTTTCATTCCTGCACATCTTACTACAAGACGGCCTTAAACGTTTTCTAAAAAATATTTTTCAACTTTCAGGTACGACCACTACGCGACATTGTGCGAGCTACTTCCCGTATCGTTGCCGTCCTTAAAAAGCTGCTTGCAAACCTTACTGAAAGCAGAGACTTCCAATGGTATGTCTAGTGTTTATTTTATTTCATTAGTTAGTAAAAGTAACTGCTGAACATGGGTCCCCTATTTAGGATTGCATAGGATTTGCCTTAATCACCAAGTTAGGCAGGCGAATTAACGGTCGTAGGACCATTTTTTTTATATAATAAGGTTGACAAACGAGCACACAGTCCACCTGATGGTAAGTGGATACTGTGGCCCATAGACATCTACATTTATCCTCGATTACGAATCAAAATGCAGATGCGTTATCACCCCTGAGGACTGAGATATAATGCCTCATTTCCAGTAAAAAGGGTTTGCGGTTCTCTATACTCACCATACGCAATACAGCATTGTTCTGCTGTTTCACGCTGGTACTCTTATAAGAGCGTGATCCTACCTCGGTCGAGCCGACCCATCCGTGCTACAACCATAATATACCTACAGCGTGACTGTACCATGTAAAAGGGTTTCGGCAAAGAAGAGTCCGCCTCAATGCATGTTAGCTGACTTCATAAATTCTTTAATTTTATTTTTAATTTAGTCAGACATTTCCTCGTGACGTTTTTCTATGGGCCACAGCATCTACTTACCATCCATTTACCAGTTTCTCGACTCCACAGAATCAGTTATTTATTCATGGGGCAATGTATACCCTATTACACCAAAGTCCCAGAAAATATACACGGTCTCTTTATTACCAAGTTTAAATATTTAATCAAACGAAAACTGTATAAAAAGGTTATTATAATATAAATCAATACATGTTTAATAATAACCCATGGGAATGAGGTGGTCGCTTCCAAGCTGTTTCTAAAATAAATTTTGTAAATAATTTGATACCATTTATATTGTAAAATTTATTTAAAAAAAGTCCCACTGGGTTTCTTGCTGTAAGAATTACTTGTAATCAATATTGAATAAAAATTATTCTATTCTATTCTATTCATGTATTTTATGTCATATTCTATGTCACCCTTATTCTATATAAAAAAAAAAGTTTTTCTTTTATTCTCTGCTTAGAAGCTGTTGTAAGCGAAGTTATCCCAGAGGCGCAATGGCCGGGTGTGGAGTTAGCGAGATGCGTCCACTCTTTTGTCATCCTCCGGGAACGGTGTCTGGCATTCATTCATGGCGATATGTAAGTTTTTCTTTGGTTACATACCCGAGCATTTCGACAGTGTCAAAATAAAATTCATTGCCGTGTCGTGGCGGGGTAAGGGAATCCATTACCCCATATCACATGGGTGTCGTAAGAGGTCTCTGAGGAATATTGAAACAGGAGATGGACAGCAGCATCTTCCTGATAACAGCTCAACATAAAACCGCGGTTGCAAATCCGTCTGCCAAGTGTGAAAACGCAAATGGCTTGTCATCCCTGAAGACTTAGATGGTATGCCACGTTTTCAGTACAAAGGATCTCCGGTCCTCTACACTCATCATAGAGGCCGTTCAAGTATTACGTAAGCAGAATTTTCGTAATTTTTGACCGCCCCTTCCCCTCGTCAGCAAAAGCAATCAAAGCTCTTACCCCCTCCCATGCTTACGTATACATTTATATAAGTATTTTTTTAATCTGTTCTGGTTTCCTTATTGGTTCATAAGCAGCAGTTAACAAATCTAGAAATAAGGAATTTATAGTCTATAGAGCGTTAGCGAAGCTTCCATAGAAGCCGAGAAGCTAGGCTTGCCCTATAAATCTGCTCAATCAATAATATCAACCTATAAAATAACTCGTAAACTGTTTCAAAGCGCTCCTCTGTTCTACACAGGTCGTGACCTCGTAGCCTTATTATGTAACGTTAACACTTGGCAGATTGCTTTACTGTGCGATACTGCTGTCAGAAAAAGGAGTTGAGTTGAGCGATTAGTCGTCTCTCTCGCACGCGTGGGCTTTTTACCGGTCATTCGAGAAGACAACCGCTCCCTTTCTAACCTGTGGCAAAATGTTCTATAATGAAATATAACTACGATTGTTTATATAGCAATCAGTATGCAGCCAAAAGCCCGGTTTTTGGTGTGAATTTAGTCGAGCGCAGAGGCGCCCGGGCTATAGCGATACTATTGCAACTTCACTTCACATTTCAATGTTTACTCTATGTGCTTACTTGAGCGAATTAATATTGCGAGTTGAAAATTTATCTTTTTTATAAAGATTTTTAGTGAAAATGGAGGATCATAGTGTTCCTTGTGATGAATTGAAGTGTGTTAACCGGTTCAGTGCGGGTGATACGCCAGGCGTGCCATCGATTACTTTTGTGTGTGGCGTATGACACGCGAGTCGTGTCTTTTTAAAAATCGTTATAACTCGCTGAAATTGCTTTTTTGGAAAATTTATCCAGAACAAAATATTCATTATTTTGCGAGTAGTTCATGCATGCAGCTTCGTTTCTAGATATTTTGAAAATTTGAAATTTTTAGGGGTTGATAACCTTTTTTTAACGTGTACATGGTACTATTTTTACTTTGTGGGTTTTAAATCATGTTATGGGAAAATTGTCTAATAAGTAACAAATAATAGCACTCATTGCGATCGCTCACAAACTCAAGTTGTAAATAAATTTCTGGAAAACAAGTCTCCTGTTAAAAAAAACAATGCGTTTGTCTTATTGTTTAATTTTACTTAAAATGGTTGAACTGCCGTCTTATTACTATCATATGGCCGAATAGACCTACGAAGTACCATGTGCTCTTGTGATATGGTATAAGGTTTATTTTTGCTTGAAACAGTTCGAAACCGCTCATGCATAAAAAAGTTCGCTAATAAATAGTCTTTTGTCAATCCGCCGCCGTATAGCGCCGGCGTTTTTTTCCTTTTGAAAACACTTGTTTTGCTATTCTTACTAATTAGACGTTTTCAGATCGACTTTACTTTTACATTTGTATAACATTAAATAATATTTAACATTTGTAAATATCAATGAATGATATACCTTTTTTTTTTCAAATCAAGGTTCTTCATTGTTTGATATTTACAAATGTTATTATTAGGTGAAAATTTAATTTAATAAAAACCAAGGTTTCCAGGGTGATTTAGCTGTACCTAATTATATAAATGATTTTTTTATAACAACAAGAAATAGTACAAAAGGTTTGTAATCTCTTCATAAAAAAAGTCACTTTCTCTCAATTTCAAAGAAAACACCTTTAAAAACTCGTAGTTACCCACTAAAAACAAGTATCCTTCCATTTGTAACTTATGTTTGATGTGAAATAAACTTAATTAGGTCTAAACAAGTAAAAAAAAACATAAAAAAGAACATTACTTTTACACATGGCGGATGGCACAATAGGCGTGTCATTTTTGTCTATGGCGATTGACACGCCCGTTGTGTCATGAAATATTTGTTCGCCGCCACAGCTAAAAGTTGTCGAAAATCGGTGCCGCAACGAATCGCTTAAAGTGCTAATCGGCGAGGAAAAGGTCCCAAATCTTTAAACTTTGTTGAGAAATATATATGCATATGTTATCACCAACGATGTATCAAATCTTTCCTTAAGAAAGAGAGATGATTCGATTTAGAATATAAATATATTTTTTTAATTTTATACATAGTTTGTTTGTACTTTGTTCATGATTTTCTTTTGTTCATGTATTGTATTTGTATTGTATGTAAATATCTTTTTTTTTCGCTCAAGCAAACCCAAACGGCTTTTTTCAAAGCCACCGAAGGTATGCATATCGTCATACAATCTATCTATCAGTAGTATGCCTTCTGTGTGCTTTGTTAAATACGTCCTCGACAGCACTGAATATGAAACTGAAGAGTGGAGACAGATCAAGATTGGTGTATTTTTATAAAACTGCTAAAAACAACAAAACCATATCTTGGGCTTGCCCTAGTTTGGGGCCCTAGCTTTGCCACTGCTATAGAGCTAACTTATAGTGCTTCGCTATTAGAGCGATGGTAGCCCAGTGGAGAAGACCCTCACATAGGTGGAATTGGAAGATCATTCCCAGGCACCTCTGGCTTTTCGAAATCTAAGTGTGGATTTATACCACTACCTCGGCGATGAGGGAAAACATCGTGAGGAAACCTGCACATTTAGAATATCTAGATGTGTAACCATGATCCAATTTGTCTGGTTCCCTGTCTAAGGGTTACGACGGGCAGACGCCAATCGCTTCAATGTAATTACCAGACTCGTCAAATCCTAGATCATGGTCGTACCAAGGTTGCCATATGAGTTCAAATCATCATCATCATCATCATTACAGCCTTTCATAAGTCCACTGCTGAACATAGGCCTCCCCCAAGGAATGCCACAAAGCATGGTCCTGAGCCACCTGCATCCATCGACTTCCTACATGTCTTACCAGGTCGTCACTTCATCTCGTGGGGGGTCGCCCTACACTTCGCCTACCGGTACGAGGCTGCCACTCAAGAACCTTTCTTCCCCATCGGTTGTCGGTTCTTCGAGCTATATGGCCGGCCCACTGTCACTTCAGCTTACTAATCCGTTGGGCTATGTCGGTTACTCTGGTTCTACTGCGGATATACTCATTTCTAAGTTTATCAAGTAGAGAAACCCCGAGCATAGCCCTCTCCATAGCTCGCTGAGTGACCTTGAGCTTCCTCATACGGCCAGCAGTGAAGGACCACGTCTCAGATCCGTAAGTCATCACTGGCAACACGCACTGGTTGTATAATTTCGTTTTAAGGTTTTGAGGTATGTCTGACGAGAAGATGTGTCGTAGTTTCCCGAACGATGCCCAGCCGAGTGGAATCCGTCGATTGACCTCTCGGTCGAAGTTGGACTTACCTAGTTAGACTATTTGTCCCGGGTAAACATACTCGTCAACAATTTCGAGCTTATTGCTCCAAACAACTACCGGCATAGGTGTGCCATGGACATTAAACATGATCTTTGTTTTGTCCATGTTCATCCTAAGGCCTATTCGCTGGGAGACACTATTGAGGTCATTGAGCGTGGTGCTTAGGTCCTCCAGCCATTCTGCCATAAGGACTATATCGTCGGCAAATCGAAGGTGAGTGATGTACTCGCCATTGATGTTAATACCGTGTCCTTTCCAGTCCAGAAGCTTGAAAACGTCTTCCAATGCAGCGGTGAAGTTTCGGGGATATAACATCACCCTGTCTTACACCTCTCTGCAATTGGATAGGTTTCGTACTCTGGTTCTGTACTCGGATAGCCATCTTAGCTCTACTGTACAAACACTTCAGCACTTCGATATACCGACAGTCAACTTGGCACCGCTGAAGGGACTGCAGCACCGCCCAAATTTCGACGGAATCAAAGGCTTTCTCATAGTCCACATACGCCAGACATAGTGGCAAATTGTACTCTTCGGACTTCTGTACAATTTGCCGAAGGGTATGTATGTGGTCTATGGTGCTAAAGCCCTTTCGGAAACCAGCTTGTTCGAGAGGCTGGAAGTCGTCAAGTCTGCGCGCGAGACGATTCGTAATGACTCTCGAAAACAGCACGTAGACGTGGCTCAGAAGGGAAATCGGTCTGTAGTTCTTCAAGAGAGCGTTGTCGCCTTTCTTGAAGAACAAGACCACCGCACTTCTGCTCTACGCCTCCGGTGTAATGCCACCATGGAGGACGGAATTAAAGAGCTTCTGAAGGACTTCAAGTACTGGTCTTCCACCCGCTTTCAGAAGCTCCGCTGTAATTCCATCCTCGCCTGGGGGCTTGCCGTTTTTAAGGTGCTGGAGAGCCATTCTAATCTCGCTCAGACTGACGTCCGGGATATCTTCGGAATAGTGTCGGATAAGACTCGCTCTTGAATCGTTACTCACACTTGCGTGTGGGTCCAACGATGAAGTGTGCCCATAGAACCTCTCAATCTCACTCAAAATGCTGCCACATTCGGTCTTCAGCTTTGACAGTTGGCTCTTTCTGGCAGACAGATCTCGGCCAAAGACTTTGGAGCCTTGGTTCCGCTCGATCGCTTCTTCAATACAAGCTGTATTGAAGTTGCGTAAGTCCCGCCGCATGCATTTGGAGATTTTTCTGTTCATTTGCATGTATGCTGTCAAATCTGTTGAAGAATGTAGCTTCATCTCCCGTCTAACAGCCAGGAGATTGAGAGTGTGTTCGGACAGTTTTTGTGTTCTTCTGCGGCGGGTCTTGCCGAACTTAGCTCCTCATTGCAGTCTTCTAGGCACTGAAAACGGTTTTGTAACTCGAGCTGAAAGGTTTTCGGACTTTGGAACAGAGCACGAGGGGGACGGAGCGTTGACTTCATTAGACGAGACCTCTCCAACTTAACGTTTAGGTTCAGTGTGCCTCTGACCATTCGCTGATCGCTACCAGTTTTCACCCTCGCGATCATTGAGAGTCACTGAACAGTTGTCGTCTGGTCGTCATAATGAAGTCAATCTAATTTTTTGTGAAACCGTCGGGGCTCGACTAGGTCCACTTCCTGTGGGGCCGCTTCGGAAAGAAAGAGTTCATCATAAAGAGTCCCTCTTTCTCCATGAAGTCGGCCAGCTGCTGGCCCCTTGGGTTCCGTTGCCCTATTCCAAATTTCCCTACTTTCAGCTCACCGTTCTCTCTTGTGCCTAATTTTGCATTGAAGTCTCCCATTAACACCGTATATTGGATTTTGGAGGAATGCATGGCTCTAGAGATATCCTCATACATTTCCTCCACGTCCTCATCGGGGTGTGCCGAGGTGGGTACGTAAACCTGCATGACCTTCAGCGAATACCGTTTGGTGATTCTGAGTATAAGGTACGCAACCCTCGTCGACACACTCTCAATCTTTACAACGTTGTTAACGAGAGACTTGTGGACGATAAATCCGACGCCTCCTTGGGACAGATGGTCGCCCTCCCGGTGATAGAGCAAGTTGCCAGATTCGAGGATTACCGTGTCCTCCCCCTCTCTTCGGACATCGGATAATCCTATAATATGCCAGCGTAACTTGTCTATCTCTTCTTCCAGCTCCACGATCTTCTCGTCAGTCCTCAGGGTGCGTGCGTTGTATGTTGCCAGGTCGAGTCGTCTTAGGTGGCAACCGAACCTCTGTCGGAGATTCTTAGCACCCCCTGCCCCGCCGTTACCATGGTTACCGTAGCCAGGAATAGTGGAGCTGCCGGGGACTGGGGGCCGTCTCTTCGCAACTTTCATCATAGGGGATCTTTGCCATAGTTGCCACGCTTGGCGAGCGGGTTGGCAACTGCAGTTTTTTTATTGTATGTTTGTTGTTATCAGGAAGATGCTGTTGCCCATCTCCTGCCTGTTTCCCTTTGTCGCCTTTTACGACACCCACGGGAAGATATGGGGTAGTGGATATTCTTAACCGCCACTACACGGCAAAGAGTTCAAATCAAAATCGACTAAATTTTGCAGAAAATCCGAAAAAGTAAAAAAATAAATATTACTGACGTAATCACCATCCAGATCCCCCATCCCCCATGTCATCAAAAATAAACCTAACAAGCTAACAGCATAGCAAAGTGGCGAAGCAATCAGCTTCGTAGCGGTTTCTAACGGTTGCCGTTGAGCAATCAGTTTCAAAATAGGAGGTTCAGATGCCTGGGTGATCAGTAATCGATTGCTGAAAACAGAATTTGAAAATTCGAAACTGTTCTCGAGATAATCGTGGGATAGACGGACAGACGGACAGACGGGCAGACATCGTGAAATCAATAAGTGACTTCGCAAGCTTCGCCACTTAATAATTTTAAACTTATATACCTGCGGATTTGTTCGGAAGCCTCGGTGCGCGAGTCCGACTCGCACGTGGCCGATTTTTTTTTCTGTATGTACTACAAGTTTAAAGTTTAATAAAGTTTTAATAAATAATTATTATTATAGTTTGTTTGTAATTTGTTAGTCAAAACTACTTCTGACTTATACTTTTTGAAGTTTTGAAAATCAAAAGTTAAATTCTTGTAATATTACATTCTATATCGTTATAATGTACGCGGCTTTAGGGTGGGCAAAGGTCACCCCAGCCGCACCTTAACCTACTGTCAAAAAAGGAACCCCTACACTAGGATTTTCTCCTGTGTCGTGGAGACAGTTTACAAACATAAATTGCACAAGGACAAACATCCAGACCCGGAACAATTATTTGTAGGCCATACAAATAATAAAAAAAGAACATGAACAACAACACAACAAGATAGTCAATGTCGCGAAATTTGTTACTCCTGCACATTCAGTTTACAATTATAATTATTTCACTAGATTAGTCTAATAACATAGTTCTGAACCGCTCTCATATAACTATATTACGGTATATAGCTATATCCCTTAGGATATAACTATATCACGACTTTAACTACCTTCCTGCGACATATACAAACTAGTTAGTTGACGAAATTAATATAGGCAATTATAGTTATCCTATTTAATATAATATGCCATTTGTTGCAGAGTATTAACGTGGCTTAATCCATGGCAGATGAAGAACGAATTTACAAACCCCTTACAGGTTGAGAACATAGCGGTTGCGGCGAAACAGTAAGTATAGAGGTGTTGGGACATTTTATCATAGTGCTTGGGGTTGGAAACGTTAATATAGTATTCTATTTTAGGTGGTTTGACTATGTCCATGGCTGCAATAGCTCACGAATATCTGTTTGATCTTGTGTATGACTGTTAGGTTTTTATTTTGTAGTTACTTAAACCACCCCCACACTAGGATTTTTTAAATAGCATAAGGGTGAGAAATGAGCACACAGTCCACTTGATGGTAAGTGGTTGCTGTAGCCCATAGACATCTACATCTATCCTCGATTAAGAATCAAAATGCAGATGCGTTGTCATCCGTGAGCACTAAAATGAAATGCCTCGTTTCCAGTAAAATGGGTCTCCGGTTCTTTACACCCACCATACGAAACACGGCAGCGTTAAGCTGCTATTTTACGCTGGTATTCTGTGAGAGCGTGGTCCTTCCCCGGTCGAGCCGACCCAATCGCGCTACAACTATACTGTAAATATAGCTGCAGCTTGGCTCTACCACGTTTATTATCGTGGAGGCAGTTAACATTCAGAAAGTGCACAAGGATAAACATCCAGACCCGGAACAATTATTTTAAGGCCATACAAATAAATACTTGATCCGTGCGGGATTTGAACGCATAAGCCTCAACCGACAACTTATACTGTTTGCTTTCTTCTTCATCGTCTGCATCAGTCGGCTGAACTGGAATGGAATGGAATAGGCTTCTCCCATCGTAGGGAGGTTTTACCATCATTGGCGGGCAGATTGCCGAGCGCAGTACCAGATGTTTCGCACCCTTAAAGTTCCTTGCCGTCGTCGGCCTGTGTTATTTATTCATCACATTAAATGGCGATACTGCTATAAAAGCTTGGCCATGATACTTGTCTGGCTGTTTTTACTGTCATCTATAGGCTAGCCATGATATTTGTTTGTCCTTTTTACCATCATATATGGCTTAGCCATGTTATTTCTAGCCCCTCCTAACAATAGTCGCTTAGCTTTGAAACTTTAATATTATTAAAATATTTCTTTACATTTCCAGCTTGCTAACGGATTTACTAGCCTTACAGCAGCAGACATCGGTACATCTTTATGCGATAACTGGAAAAAGGAGCGCAGAGGAATGGATTGGAACTTTCCTAGCCCCGCTAGTCCAGCGAATTGCGGGAATACAAGAGACCGCTGAAACGCGGATCAAATCCAATGCCAGTGTACGGCCTAATTGTGTCAACGATTGTGATATGGAGCTTGAGAAATGAATTTAGTTCTCGTCCTTCCATTATCATCCTCATAAGTCTGATTGTCCACTGCTGGATATAGATCTGTTAGTCTGATTGCCCACTGTTGGAGACATTTTTTTTAAGTTTCTTGTCACGTATACTAACACAATGGATTTTTGTTGTCCGCAATAAAGAATATTATTATTATATCCGCCCCGGCGTCCACGGGTGATTTCTGGAACTTGACAACAGCGCCACCTACCGGGTACAATTGTGAATATAAACCATCCAAGGACCCGCTTAAACACACACAAAAAATTCATCAAAATCCAGCCGTTATTTAGTTTTAGCGGAGAGCAATCAATTTTTATATACAGGGTTATTTTTCAGAGTAGCCAAATTTTAAACTTAAATTCAAATATATAAATAATGATATACCTACCGTTATTGCAGTTTTTGAAAATACGAGTAAGGCTTCTACTTTTATTTGAAACTATCCCAAATTGAATGTAATTTATGGGCAATGTTTTTGCCTACCGATCGACTCTTACGAATGTATGCGTGCGCAGTAAAATCAGTTAAAATAATGCATTACCACGCACTTTGAATTTAAAAGATAAATAGGACAGAATGTTTGAGATTTGAGCCTTCTCTGCAAATTTGGCCGGTTATTGCAAAATGACCTTGTATAGAGATAGAGCTGTAGCTGAGCTGGACAAAGAGAATACAATCACTACGTTTAAGAGGTAAATTACTTTACCAACATCAAGACATGACATTTAATTTTAAACAAACAATGCTGACAACATAGATACAGAATAAATAATAGGCGAATCATAATAGTGCCGTAAATGTCTATGCTCGAACAATTTTATAGATATAATGTTTATCTGTTTATCGATACATTGTTTATCGATATTTTTATATAATAAAAGTGAGATGTCTATACTGAATGATTTATGAGAAATAAAAGTTTTTACGTGGGATTGAGTAAAATGCCGATTAAGATAAGTAATCAATGTATTTTACACACAGCGATTTGTAATCGTATATCTACAACTATTAGGTACAAAAATATGTACAAAGAAACAAAATAAACAACGCACAGTTATACTAGTAATTACTTAAGTAAAAAATAAATGACGACTCCGTAGCGCAGTGACTAAGCGTTTGGCTGCGGCATTGCAGGACCGAAGGTTCGTTCCCGCACTGAATACGTGTTTCTATGCTGTAAAATAAATAGTCTGCGTCTGGATGCTTGTTTTTATCGTTATTTGTTTTAAATGGGTAAAATATTGTTTTTTTTTAACACTGATTGGATTAATTTGTTTTAAGTTTAACAAATACTATATACAAATTAATAGGCTTCTTCACAGAGGTACATACCTACTACTCTCAAAGATCATTTACTAATAGTCACTTTCAAAATTAGTGCACATTATTGCTAATGTTTGTAGATGAATCTATAAAAAAAACTATAAATATTTATAATCAGGTAATTACAAATAACTTCGAGTTTAGTTATATAATCGCATTCTTACCAAAATGTGATTTTAAAGGGATATTATCTTTTGCTACATGTAAAGGAAATCTAATTAACATACACATAATTCTGGAAGCTTTGAGTCCACTAATGGATTAACAGTTCATTTTAGTTGGGTTTAAATCCTCGGATTTGCAATGTTTGCCACAAATATGTTTTAACATGTGAAGTTTTTCAATTGTAACATCTGCCAGATATACATTCCCAATGAATTTCACCCATTTCTTGCATCTGAAAAATAATATAAATAAAATCACATTCTTATTGAACAAATAGAATGTAAGCAGTCACAATTGATAAAATAGTTTCTAAGTATAGCGCGTTTCGGATTGCCAACGTATTGAACTATCAGAGTTAGGAAAATATATATATATTAAAAACGTTACCACCGCACTAAGATTTTCTCCTGTACCTATCGCAGTTAAGAAACATAAATTGCACACCGCGATTGAATTAAATGTGAGACCAATATAATTTTTTTTGAAATGTAATTTTTTCCATAGGGCGATGGAAAGCGAAGTTATTTGATTTAAATAGTTTTCTGTACAGAGACAGACTGGGTTTCGGTTCGTCTTGCAAATCTTCAACTAGCATTTGGTGCATTTTCCTTATAGTCAAAACTGAATGCAAAATGCGCGAGTAGTAGAAGCTCGTCAGTAATGAGACTCTACTCTTGGAAAGCGCTTTAGATGTTCTTCAACCAATATTTTAACACGTTCATCTTTTTTAATATTTGCTGGATTGTGTCCTCCACGTTTATTTTTCTCCTGTACCCCGGTTGGTAACAACTTTTCTATGGCTGTTTTAACTGTTCTCCCTCCGATACCCAAAGTATTCAAAAAGAAGTCTTTTGTTTAGTGTTCACCTTTTCAAAATGGCGTACAATAAATTCTCTTTGTGCTTGAAGACTACCTAGAGTCCAAAACGTTTCACACAATTTTTGACGAGAATCATCATCACAAATATAACTACCGCGCTTGATTCTGTTACAATTCAACAACAGGTATCACTTTATTTGTAACTTGCGTAGTATATTCTTGTTCTATCTTTTGGTTAACGTTTTCTCTTGGAGATCCATCAACCATAAAAGCTTCTGCTGTGATGGAAAGATGTTGGTGACTGTCACAAGTGGCATTGACATCAAAGTGATTCCAACATAACCAAATTGAGCATGAGCATTCATGAGCGTGAAAAATTCTTCATTGTAGTAGTTTGCTTCGCATGTCTGAACTACATATTTGTCTAATTTTTCTTCGAGGTTAAAGGCTTGGTTTGCATCTGTTGCATTGTTAGATGTGATTAGGTTGTTATAATTAGAATTCTGGAGTAAAATGTGGCTGGTTAGTAAACTCACGGAGCAAATAGTTTCGTCACTTGAAAATGAATCTCTTGTCAGATTAAAAGGTATATTTTCTTGAAGCGCTTGTATAGAAGCAATGTTTGTAAAATTATCCTCCAAGGAAAGCCTTTTATGAATTGAAATAGAACTTTGGCCCTGATTTATATTTTGTTGAAGCGTTTGTAAATCTGGTTGTGTTACGGTCAAGTCGGTAGCATTGGGTTCTTTTAAATTTCGCTCACATCCGTCGACAAGGTTTCTCAATACTAACACTTGTCGCATTTTTGGTTTGGGATTATGATCAAGGTCATTCGAGTCATTTGAATTATGGAAAGGATCGTCATCGTTTGAGGGTGGCAGAAGTTTATATTTATTTTTAGCGATAACTGCGCGAGATTCCTCTGTAGAAGATTCGTTGGTGTTGTATGTAACTTTTTCCGATGCCGATTGATAGTTATTTTCAGTCAAAATAATAACTCCAAAGTACCATCTTCGTTTATAAAGCATTTTGACTTCAGTTCCAATACACATTTTGTTACTTTTTTGAACACATTTGAAATATTTGATTGACACACAATTTTCAGTGCCATGTCGCCATTTTACAATCACGTCCACTTTCAGTAATTCATGCAGTTTTCGATGTACCTATAACAAAGTTAAGATGTTTCTTAATTTAATTATTAATCACCAATAATTCCAATCATCAATAATTATAATCAGTGAAATAATGGTTGAAATCGGATCAGTAGTTTTTGAGATTATCCTCTAAAAACACAAAATTTAACTTTTTATTAAAGGGACAAAGTATCTTCATATTAATTTTTTTTTCAACGTGGTAGAGCCATGCTGCAGCTAAATTAATTGTATAGTTGTAGCACGAATGGGTCGGCTCGACCGGGGAAGGACTACGCTCTCACAGAATACCAGCGTAATATAGCAGCTTAATGCTGCTGTGTTTCGTACGGTGAGTGTAGAGAACCAGAGACCCTTTTTACTTCAAAAGAGGCATTGCATCTTAGTCCTCACGGCTGAAAACGCATCTGAATTTTGATTCGCAAAACCAAGTTAAAGGATCAAATTTTTCATTAGGCATCACTTGCCAATTTAAGGGATAGATACCGTTTTTTTTTAAATCCATTGGATGGAATAACAGGATTCAAAACATCCCATATTTCAGTAATGATTCGTGCGAACTCACTTTTTGGTAACTTTCCTCCGATATGATGAAGCCTTCGCCATCTAACCAAGGCTTCTTTCCACCGATCTTACATCTAGCGGTTGAAGGATATTTTATGAAATGGCGTGTTAAATCACTTTTAAATCTACGTGTGTGAAGTGGCTTTCATAAATTAGTAGAACTGGTCGCTCATTTCCGATCGCATGTAAAAATACATTTGTAAAATATTTCTCGAAAATTAATGTTTTCATCCAGCCCTTTTGGGTGACTGCGCATGCTGTTTTCACAGTATCATTTTTGTAACACCAGTCGTTCCACAGGTATTTTCCTTGAAAAACTATGAGTGGTGGGACTTTATCGGCGCGTGCATTAGTTTCCAATAAGACACTCGTGTTATTACGCCCAGGGGAACTGTTGTCCTTGTTAGAACTATACCCTCTTTGACCAAGCACTTTACTCTTTGAAGGATCATTGCAAAAACTGGTTTCGTCTAGATTATAGATGCGCTCGGGTTTCTCGGCTAGGTCCAATTCGTTTATGTCATTTTCCAATAAATCTAAGTATTCATAAATGGTAAAAGAGTTGCAGGCTTTTCTTCTAGCTATTTCGACTGATTGTGTTTTTTTAATGATAGATTATTTCTTTTACAAAGGCGACGAAACCAGTCATCTCCAGGAATATTATTCTTAAATGGAGTTATCCATGCGTTTCTTACGACGTATTTCGATACTAGTACTTTAGACTTCTTTTTTAGTTAGAGGAAAGCCATACTTTTCTAAACTATGCAAATGCGAAGCCATTTTTTGCTCTATATCAATTGAACATACAGTCTTCATTCCAGAGTTTACCTGTTTATGTCCGCGTGTGCCATATAAATGTGAAATTATAGTAGATCTCGGTATATTAAACGTTTTTGCTGCCTCATAATCATTTAACGTTTTGCTTTTAACCAACTCCAGTGCCTCTAGAAGCTTTTCTTT